TACAAATTGTTGTAATAAAAAGAAGAATCAATTTCAGACCAAACACAAAACTGTTGTAATAAAAAGCAAAAGCAATTCTCAGAGTAAACACAAACTGTTGTAATAAAATGCAAAAACAGAATCAATGCTCAAACCAAACACAAACGTTTACAATAAAAAGACCAAACACAATCATAATTCTTCAAACATTAATAGAAACACAACCATACATTAGCCGAGACATTTAATCATGCTATTACAAACATGAATCATGAAAAACTTACAAGAAAATATCAAACATAAACAACTAGGAAACAAACCTAAAATCTAAGACAACATTTCATTAATTAACTTGTTCTTGAGAGCAATTTCTGTGTCAGAAAGCTCTGTTTTTCCAAGAAGACTCTCAAGCAGCTTCGCCTTATCATGCTCTCTCTGCAAAGCAAAGTCCTTCTGCCTAATTTCCCACATACTCTGAAATGTGTTCAGAACTTGTTCTTGTTCTACTTTTACAGTGGCAGTCTTTTTTCCTTGGGCTTTTGCTGCCTTCACACCAGGAGGCCTTCTCATTCTTTCACCATCGTCAACACTCATTGGCTGGGAATTTGTTGGATGAGCAGCACCATTCACACCCTTTCTTCTTTTTGAACTCTCAGTAGATGGTGCTCCACACCATTTCTGGTCATACCTTAGCTCTCTCCAAGCATGATCCAATGTGAACTTTTTCTGCTTATCATTGAAGTATAGTTGGTGTGCCATCTTCATTACATCATCCTCACTCTGCCCACTAGCTTTTTGAGTTGTTGCTGCCGCATAACACCCCACAAACTTATTGACGATTTCATTGATCTTGCCCCACCTTTGCTTACACTGAGCCCACTCTCTCTTTGGGAAACCTTCAAGCTGCGGGCTACAAGCGACATAGGCTGCAATCCTTTTCCAGAATGATCCACCTTTTTGATCATTTCCTACCACAGGATCCTTGCTGGTATTTAGCCAAGCACTTATGAGGACAATATCCTCTTTTGGTTTCCATTTCTTTCTAGAGACACCCACCTTAGGTGTGGCTGTGGGTGTGGCTTCGCCTTCACTGCCTTCATCAGACCATTGTGTGCTATAAAGAGGGACTTCACTGCCTTCTTGTTGACTATGCAAGAGATCCATGAAACCAGATGGCAGACCACTATCATCCATTTGGTAGTGGCTGTGTTTGTGGTTTGTGGTTAAAGGAGAAGGAAGAGAAGACTGAAGTGGTTTGAGGTTTGTGGTTAAAGGAGAAGGACGAGAAGCAGAATCAATTTTTGGTTAGTGGTTTGTGTTAATGTTAGCAATTTAAAGAAGGTGAAAGTGTATTTAGTGTTAGCAATCAATGACACTAAAGAAACTAAAGTCTTTACCTAACATAAACCAACTAAGAATTTACTACACAGAATTTAACCAATCAACATACTAGCTTTTTTACAGAATTTTTAAAATCTGTAATCCAAAAGAAAATAGAGAATATACACTCTATTATGCTAATTATTTACTCTCTACAATGGCATTTAAACACATAACATAGCATGCATTGAAACAATGATGTTCAGTTTACTTTAAGAAATCAATTGGATGGTAACGAAACTAAAGACACAAAGCATTTATGCAACTACGATGTTCAGTTTCTCTCTCTGATGTTAAAGCATTCAAGCATTTATCACACACAAACAATAACTATGATGTTAAGTTTACTTACTCTCTACTTAACACTATACACAATCAACTCAAGCATTTATCAGAAAATGCATGCTATCAAACAAACAATCATTTCAATAACTAAATATGGAACATTTACCTTTAATAAAATCTCAGAAGCCTACTGCTTTTGCAGTTTCTCCTTAACGACCACATGATCCTTCCCATCTCCACTTACCTTCTCCAATAGCCTTCTAAACTTTCAGTTTTCCCATTGAAACTCAACAAAAACAGAGAGAAAGAAAAAACAATTAGCAAAGACAATAATAATCAACTCACAAATGTATCTAATGAAACTTAACAGATATATGCACTAATAGACTGATTTTAATGATTCAAAACAGAGATAAAGATATCAAATTTAATGTATGAATACTCAAATCAAGCTTAATCCGAGAATGCTTCATGATTCTCAAACTAAGTGTGCAAAATCCGAAACTATCTACCAAAATCAAACAATATATTTACAGTTTTTTGCTCAATCATGCCTAATAAGTAAAACAGAGCCTCCAATTCGATTCAAATGACAAAAAAAAACAATCATCCTTTTTCCCGAAACTATGAACCCTAAGTCTAACAATCTATGACAAATTCGTCAACAATCATGGTTATTTACAACACAAAAAGCCTCCAAATTGCTTAATAAACAACAAATTGTCGCTAAAAACGAAGAACCCTAACTTACAAATCGAAACCCTAATTTTCTTCAAACACTAATTTCGATCGGGAACCACAAAATAAAACGAATCAAGTCACGATACACAGAGGAAAGGGTCTAGATTCATACCTGGAACAAGATATTGGACCATCCTTCAACGAATCTTTCTTCTCCATCGCCAATCTTCTATTCGGTTTGACTTCATTCGCCGATGGTCTTAACCGTCTATCCAGCTCATGATTCCGGCGGCAGGTAAGTCTCACATACCACGAAATCGGCTTCTATTCATCGGAAACTCACGGAAACGGCGTCGATTCGTCGGAAGATTTGATTGCCATCGAGAGAGAGACTTGCGTTTTTTTGTTGTGTCGTGAGAGAGAAAACGCGTGAGAGTTTTTTTTTCCTTTTGGTAAAATGCCTCTTCCATTCAAGAAGCGACACGTGTCCGCCTCTCTGAAAATCTCAAATTCCTCTTAAGAGAAGCGATTCTCTTTGGTTTAATCAGTTTTGAATTATTTTTGATCAAAATAATCAAGAGAATTCATCTAAAAATTTGAGACAACCTCCCTTTGGAAATGCTCTAAGTCTTTTAGTTGGCATCATCTTCACTGGCTTCATTCTATCTTAAATAATATTATTTCTTTTATTTCAATACTAAATTGATATGTTAAAGAAAATAATAAAAGCTGTATAAGCTTTTCCTAGTGTTATCGTTTCCTTTATTAACCTGTGTCGTTTTGCTCTGTTCCCACACGTATAACGTTGGTACTATGATTGAATCTGTATTTGTTAAATTTATGCATGGGGTTGTAATTAAATGATGAGTATTAAATTATTTAAGAGTTTGAGAGATAATATACTTAAAAATAGAAGTCAAGTGATTAATAAGAAGACCAATCTGTCTCACAGAGAGGATCGTGAGGAGACTGTCGAGCCGCAGCTGTATAGGGTCTCTCATTCATATTATAATCCAAATTTCTATTTTGTTAGTTAGTACACCAATATACGACACTTGCGTTCAAGTTAAATCATCAAATTTCATAAGAAAGAATAATAATATTCCATATTAAATTTAGTCTTCTTGTTTCCATACATTTCTTTAATATTGACTAAGCTAATACTTATTTTTAGTATACGTACGTACTATATGCGATTGGGTCGTACTATTATACAAATATTTATGTTATATATATGTTTTCATACAAATTTATAAAAATTATTAGTAATATATATTTACTTTTGAATCTCGGCTTGTAACGGTGTAAAACTTTTGAATTACAATCATGAAATGATCCAAGTTATCTTCAGAGCTATACCAAGGAGTTTCGATGCCATAAACGAAAAAAATATGGTTTAATTTTTAAATAATACATAATAAACATAAATAAAAATAATATTTTAATGTTCAATTTTTTTTAATAACTTATTAAATATTTTTCAACAAAAATATTACAAAACAAATTTTTTTATATAGAAATTAGGTTAGTCATAACATGTAGTCTAATAATTTGGTTTGTGTCGATGTTGTGTTACCATTCAAACAGTATAATTTATATTGTTAGCAAAACAAAATATAGTTTTAGTAATTTATAAAATTTAATATAATGATAGTGGTACTCAAAATGTGGTATCTAATATATAAAAATAATTAATAAAATTGGATAAAGATGATTAACAAAAGAAGAAGTTGGTAAAAAAGAATTAATGTTTATGAGATATAAAACACAAAGAAAGAAAAATTAACAACTTTGAGTTATTGTCTTATGTGTGGACATTTATGATTTTTTGTATTTAGAAATCTTGTATATTTGCACGTTATATTTACTACTTTCCTTTATGATATATGTTAACCTTCCTAACATTATTCTTTCAATAGTATATTATAAACACATTAATTAACAAATATAGCCTCCTAGATTTTCATAAAATTTGGTGCCGAGTGTTTTCATTTTTTACTACGTATGCACGGCTCTGGTTATCTTGTGTTGACAATGAAATTTATAATCAGATATAAATCTTGGATATACTTAGGTATTACCACCATAATTAAACTAAGAATACAAATTTCTGTTTAAGAAACTATAGTATATATATTTTTTTCATGATTCTAAATTCTAAAAATAACTAACTTTTGTGCATTCTAATTTGGTTTAAAGTATTAAATATTTTCAATTATTTATAATGATTTATGTAGTTATGAGCTTGGGCTTTTACATTATTATTAAAGCCCACTAAAATACTTTGGTATATCTCTACGGAAGCCCTTCAATCTTTTGATCAACTTGACCAATGAGTCCTATTATTTATTGCATTGAACATAGGAAGATTTTGGTTTTCTATAATACATTTTTGTTGGATATTTAACTTTTATATATCTGATGTTATTGGAGAAACACATTTGTCAATAAGTTATTCAAAATTCTAAAAATTATAGAATTTGGTTAAAAAGAATATAGTTCATTATAAGTTTCTAAAACATCTCAAGTATAAAACAATAACAACAAAAAAACAAAAACATTGTGTTTATGAATTGAAACAAAATCTGAAAGGACAACTTAAAGTAATCATGTGTAATCTTAAATATAAAATAACAACAAAAAAACAACTGTGTTTATCAAGCTGAATCAACAAAACATAAACTATTAGTAATCACGTCCAAAGTGAGGGTAATGAGCATATTCAGACACATTTTCTTGCTTAACACATTGGCTTTGGTTCTGGCTGTCTTCCGCTTTGTATTCTGGAGCAAACCCTTGAGTATTGTTACCATTATTCCCAAATGGTGATGTTTGATTAGGAACAATCATGTTGTGGTTGTAGTTGGACAAATTCATGCTCGCCATTCTTTGATCATTAAACAGATCCAATTCAGTACTGTTGATATTAGTATCACCTGAGATCCCAAAAGCAAAATTACTAGAACTTCCAGCATAAAAGTTACGACGATCAACATCTGCTTGATGGTACTTGGAGACTTTATATGCCACTGCTTTTCTCAAATTTTCCAAACCACATTGGAATTCAGTGAGTTGGGTCATGTTGAGTTCTTCAACTGGTTCTTCCCACCAATTCCCAAACATTTTATTATCTTTTCTCTTCTGTTTTAAGTCTCCTGTTATCTTTTTTTCTGCTTCCAATTGATTTGACAGCTGTAAATAATTATATTGTTATTCATTTGTATTAATTTATTAAATCTCACATAATAACCTTTCAATGAATATTTTTCTCTTACAAAAATAAACAACTCATGCATGTATAACATATTAACATTGATTCTGTTATTTCGATTTCAAACGAATATATTTCTACATGTGTGAGCAAGTTTGACCTTTCTTTAGAATATCATGAGTTTATATTGAGCAATTCATAAATCTATATTGATTTTCTCTTTTATAAACCAAAAAGTTATGGACATTTTGTCTTTTTAATCTCGATATATTTCAATGTTAATTCAAAAAAATTCATAAATGGAGATAAAACAATCTATTTTCGCTTGTTTAAAAGTTATTAGTTAGCTGACAAACTATTATTTATATATAAAATACTTTGAGAAAAAATAAATTGATTAAATGAATTGATATTTGATACTATATTATTACGATAAAATTTGAATCAAATGAAGAACCAAAAAGCGAAGAAGTAGAGTTACCAGAGTGAGATGATTGTTGAGCTCTTGAACAGCTGCATTTCGGCGGGTTTCATTAGGTTGCATATTGTTGTGATGATGAGGACGAGGTGGGTTAAAGTTAAGAAAACGATCCATTACAACATTAACATTCGGATGACCAAAAGAATAAACCTTTTGACCAGGTGAGAATACAATAATAGCGACTTCTGCACCACAAAGTGTGCAAAGTTCACTAGCTTTTTTGAGAAGGCCAGATCTTCTCTTTGAAAAAGTAACCTGAAGGTTATTTTCATTTTTTATTTTCACGATCTCGATTTTTTGTCGACCTTTGCTTTTCCTCACCATTTTTATCGATCTTTAGAAACAGACCGAAGATTGTCTTATATTTATAGTTGAACATTCAATACCAACCGTCGTCAGTTTGAGTTCTCTCCGAATAATTTTTAACTTTTAGTTTATTTTATCGCATATTAGACTTTATTTCTTACTATTTAGAAACAATTTACAATCTTTATATTCTATAAATATTAGGTATGAAATTTAAATTTTTTAATGTAATATTGTTATATCATCTGTTACATTGCATCAAAATCTGTGAGATACATGCATAATGCATTGCAAATAAAAGCAATGTTCAAGAAAGCGCTAGGCGCTAAGCGGGCGGTGACCTAGTGCATAGCACCTAAAACGCCTAATCGGGGTCTAGGCGATTTTTAGGCAGTTTAGACGTTTATAACATAAAACATTATACATATGATATTATATATAAAAGTTATATAAAATATCTATATAAAACTAAAAATTATGAAATTATAAATAAAAACTAGATAAAACATTTATTTATATTTATAACTATAAATATATAAATAAAATTTTATTAAAATTGAAAAAATACATTAAACAAGATCTATATAATTTTAGGCGGTCAAGACAGTTATCTAGGCGTGGCATGAGAGCCTAGCGCCTAGTCGGGGCCTAGACAACCGCCTAGACCGCTTTTTAGAACACTAAAAAGATGCACATCACAATTTTAGTGATGCGTTTTTACATGTTTATTTTGATCAAAAACAAAGTTATAATCAAGAATGCTAGATTGTAAATATTCATGTTCTACAAAAAGAATAGCAGTTATACACAATATATATATATTATGGCAGCTTTTGTCCAATTTTATTTCATTTTCTATGTTATTTGACATAGTGAAGTAGTAGAATACAAGGATTTTGTACAATTCAAAAAATGAGGACTGGAGACTGGAGAGTGAACAAACACTTTTCTAGGGGACATATTGAATCAAATATTTGGGATGATTTTAACTTGCGTTCAAATGATTTAAAATCTCATCTTGCAGAACTATTACTTTATAAAATTGTTTGAAGTGAAGACTAACCATTTAATAAAAAGTTTCAACTTATTGGAAAATTTTGTTAGTTTATTATTATACCAAACATCATTTTGAATTACTTTTGAAAATATTTGTGGTTGGATTTGTTTGGATCCAAATCACATCTGACTTAGAAAAAAAAAAAGAAATAGCAAAAAATAGCAAAAGAAAAAATGGACCCAAGCTTTGGTCTTGATAATTTTATTGACCTCTTATCTGATGTGTTCCCTGTTATGAACTTATGATGTAGTGTATTTAAAATTTAATCAATAGTTTAATTGAATGTTCTCCAAAACAGCTATTAAGATTTTTGCCACATAAAGTTCAAAACCGAGTAAGGCAAAAGATAAAACTGAATGAAACCAAGGCAAATAGGTTTCAACGTTTTGCTTGATGATGAGGTAAAGAGCGAAAGTTTAGTCTTGACAATTTTTTTTATTTGCTCTGTTCACTGATATGGAGTAATGTATTTTAGACATGATCATTAGTGTGAAATGAATGTTCTCCAAAACAGCTCTTAAGATTTGACAGAAAGTAAGAAGAATAGGAGAGCAACGATAGATTGATACCACAAAGTTCAAAGTTCAAACACCAAGAATGGCAAAAGAAAACAGACGGATAAGCAACTTAAGACTTGGTACGAGAGAGTTTCAAGCCTTTAACAACCACACGACAACAAACCCAAACATTATTAAGGAAAACCAACACTTAGTACTCCTCACCTTTATCATCTTCATCATCACCTCCCTCAGCACCAACCTCCTCGTAGTCTTTCTCCAAAGCAGCAAGATCCTCACGAGCTTCAGAGAACTCTCCTTCCTCCTCAATGCTGAGGAACGTCTGCAGATGTCGTAGATGGCTTCATTGTCGAGAAGGATGGAGATATCAGTGGGTTCCAAGAGTGAGTGGGTGGAAAGAACACTGTTGTATGGCTCAACAACAGATGTTGAAACCTGAGGTGAAGGGTACATAGTGAAACCCAGTTTGGATTTCTTTCCATAGTCCACAGAGAGACGCTCAAGGAGCAGAGATCCAAGACCAGATCTAGTTCCTCCACCAACAGCGTTGAATACTAGGAACCCCTGGAGACCAGTGCAGTTGTCGGTGAGCTTCCTGATGCGGTCTAGACAGAGATCAACAATCTCCTTCCCAACTGAGACAAGATTCAAAAACAATTCAGTCAATAATAGTAGATCAACCAAAATATGACAGATCAACAGTGGATATCAAATAACAAGAGCAAAAAAATTTACTGGTGTAATGTCCACGAGCGAAATTGTTAGCTGCATCCTCTTTGCCGCTGATGAGTTGCTCAGGGTGGAAAAGCTGACGGTATGTACCAGTTCTGACCTCGTCAATCACAGTGGGCTCAAGATCAACGAAGACAGCTCGAGGAACATGCTTTCCTGCACCAGTTTCAAAATGTTCATCATCTAATTATTAGAAAACATCACATCAATACATGTTTTTCAAATTGTCAGATCTTAATTATTAGAAACAAAATACGCAAAATGTTCATCATCATCATCAAATGATTACGGTAAAACGAGATCTAAGTCAACAACCGATAGATAGTTCTAAATAACAGAAACTATATCAACAGATTCTCGTTCATCTAATGATTCAGAAGTGCAAGATCTGATTTAATAACTACAGATCTGAGGGATCCGTCAGACTATTGAAAGATCTAGCTAAACGCAGTACGAAAACATCGGATCTGTTGGATTCAGTGAACGATTCCGATAAAATGAAGAGATAATCAATCAGATCTAAACCAGATATGTGAAGAAGAAGAGAGAGAGAGATAGGAAGGAGACGAACCTGGATGCCATGTTCAAGGCAATAAAGCTCCCAACAGGCATTTCCGACCTGGATACCAGCTTGACCAATGTGGATCGAAATGCACTCCCTCATTTTTCCTAAATCGAAGAAGAAGATCTAACGCTGGAAAAAGCTAGCCAACGAAGATTGAAGAGAAGAAGAATCGGAGGCGTTTATGAAGACGCCTTCCTTAGAGAAAATGAATCTTGATCTGGTTTTGCGACGAGTGATGTAAAATGGCTATTTTATACATGAATCCGGTTTGTAGGTAACGGGTCGTGGTTAACACGTGTACAGATATAATTGGGCCTTTGCAACCACAAGCGTAACGCTTATGAGCTGTGTTTTTTTCTAATTTTGAAATTTTGCCGCCTATGCCATTTTTGATTATTTTGCTTCATGGCCGTTAATCTTTTGAAACTGTAACGCAAGATTTTCGGTAAAAGTTGATATTTTGAACTAAACCAAGCTACCAAAATTTGAACTAAATTACGAGTTCGGTTTCATAGGTGTTCATTATCAAACCAGATTAAACCAAACTAGACATACACGTAGCTGTAACTAATTTTGTTAGCAATTTCGGTTTGATAAAAAACAATTTGGTCTGATTTCAAAGAATTTATCTCTACACTAAACCGATACAAAAAGTAAACGAATAGCCCTAATAATTTACACGTGGCTCGCATTTGGGCCAAAACTCGTGGGTTGGCTGGCCCAGCTAAAGACACCAAATTGACCATTTTTTCCCGTAAATATATATATTTTTAATTTTAATAATTTAATAGGTGAAGCGCAGTGCCGTCGTGTTGGCTCTGAACTTTGAGTTCAACTTCCTCATCGACTTTTCCTCGCCGGCGATTTGGTAATTTTCCGCAATTCTTCCTTCTCTTCGCCGGAAATTATCTTTGTTCCTTTGGGCGTGTGTTTGAATTCTGCGATTGACTCAAAGCAATTGAGAAGTGTTTGAAGTTTATTTTCTCATTTCTATTGTTCTTATTAGGGTTTGGTATAAAATGAGTATCTTCTGGGTAGAAATTGATTGAATGAGTTCGTTTCTAGTCTCATTTTCGTATAAATTAGTTGTAATTTCCATGTAATCTACAAGACTGAAACCTAGAGTTGAAAACTTTTACGCTTTTGATTGATTTGTGGATCATATTCGATAATTTATACTCATTCTATGGCCTATTAAGCTACTCCCCACGATCATCAACCTGGTAAGATTTGAACAGTTTATTATCTGTTTCTAAACTCGATTTTTTGATCAGACGGTTATCAAGTAGAAATTGTGAACTTGTTTCGAATCACTTAGAATTGTGGTTACCTAAGACATGGACTTTCTGAACAGAGAGGATGGTGGGCGATTTAACCATCTTAGAACAGAAACCTGCTTGAATGCCATGCTTATACCTTGCCTTTTTATTGTATTGGGGTTTGCCGTGTTCAATGTAGACATCGTTGTATGCCATGTTGGATATTCTATCAGAAACTTTAGAAGGCAAGGGATATTGTTGTTGCTTGCATATTGCAAATAAATGTTGACTACTATTTCACGTCCTTATTCCTATTTTGTGGTTGTTGTACAGGTCTAGTTTTCTTCTCCATATTTCAACTGAGCATACAGAGAGCAAATACAGGCAGTTTCCATTATTATTTGGTGGATCTTCCATTGGTTGCACTGAGGCTACTACTGCTGGAAGATGGCTAATAACCATCAGTATCCTGGCATTCAGGTAGGCATAGGATTAAACTACTGAGCGTGCTCTTTTTGTCCTATATCTGTCATTTTGCACCTTCTTTATTCCAATACTCTTTTACCCTGAGGCCGCTGGCTGTGAGTTAATTTCTAAATGGCTCTGACCATTGAATATGTGATTTAAGTATATTTATATTCTTGTGATTATTTTCTGAATTTTACATCTAATTTAGCGTTTTTTGTTTTGTTTTGTTTTTAAAAGCCATTCCAGCATCCTAATGCTAGCTCCATAGATTTACCCCGAGGCTTTGCTCCACCCATGAACTTTCAGGTAATGATTTATGTCTTATATGTATCTGAAGACTATTTATCAGCTCAACCCTACATGTGTTTTGCATATTTTTCATTACAGTTTCATCCTACCATTCAAGCTCCTCAGTCTGAGCAAGTTGCTCGATTGTCTTCTCAGAACTTTCAATGTGTTGGCAGAGGTGGCACAGTATTGAACATTGGATATCCACCTCAATCTTATGCACCTCAGTTATTACAGTCAATGCACCATTCACATGAAAGACCCAGCCAATTAAATCAGGTGCAAGTGCAACATGTGCCACTTGGACCCCCAACTCTAGTTTCACAGCCAAATGTGTCAATTGCTTCTGGTACCTCCTTGCATCAGCCTTATGTACAAACTCCAGATATTAGTATGCCTGGCTTTGGTGGCCCTAGGGCACTCTTTTCTTATCCGGTAAGGAAGGAAAATATTTTTGTATTATATTTACAGAAACTAGATATCTAGTTCCTAACGCTGTGAACAAACAGAGTGCCACATCTTACGAAGGTTCGAGGGCACCACCTCAAGTCACTGGACCAAGCAGTCATAGTCAGGCACAACATAGAGCATCTATCAGCCAGACTACTGCACAATCTTCTATCCTGAATCCGACATTTGAACAACCAAAGGTTGTTACCATGTCTTTTATTGTAACTACCTTCTGAACTTTTTTTGGTTGCGATACTAATATAGATATACTTTTGCGACTTGAAGGAAGCTTTTTCTAAACCTATTCCTTCTCAAGAGGCTCTAACAGATTGGGTTGAGCATACCTCTGCAGATGGAAGGAAGTAAGAATTACAAGTCATGTGACTTTTGTTTATTCTCTTTTGATTGTTTTGCTTGCGTTTTTCACATATGATGCTAAACTAAAATATTGATATTCAAACGAGATAAACTGCTGGGAACTTGGAAGCACATAATAAGGTTGTGCAAAAGCTAATTCTAGATTGTGTAGTTGTTTAGTTGTTTCTCTATTTTTACCATTGTGTGAAAGTTGGAGAGCACATCATTGGCTATTGCAGATGATAGTTTCTTTATTAATTGAATTTTTTGTGCTCTTTGAATAGGTTTTTCATTGTTAACGTTTCTTAGTCATATGTTTTTGATTCTTTGATTTCGGTAAAGACTTGTTTGATAAACTTGTCAGCTCTGTTAAACTTGTCAGCTCTGTTATATGTATGTGATCTGTTCACTCAATGAACCTATCTCTTGCTTTCTTTTTACACGAATTCTATCTAATGCTTGCTTGTTATTCATATTGATGATATTTTGCTTGCTTATTTGTTCTTCTATCTGGATTTAGCATGAAAAATATTGAACTAGTGGCTTATTATCAAGCATAAGTTTTAGTGGGAAGCAACCATACTCATGACATCTTGGATATTTATGAGTTTGATGTGCTGAAAATCACAGGATTTGTTGGCTGGGCATCCAGTTTTACTTCTATTTTTTCTGCAGAGAAAGTGTTTGATGTTCTGTCTGTGTTTCCTGATGATTTATTGTCCTGCACATTGTGCAACCGTTGTGTATTTCCCAACCTGAACAAATCTTATTCTCATCATTTAATTTGTAGAATAAATTTATTTTAGCTCCATGTTTCCAGTTGTACGAGTATATGGTCGATGACATTGATTTTTTTTTGCTTATTATTAGATATTTTTTCAACAAGAGAACAAAGAAGTCCACTTGGGAGAAGCCTGTTGAGTTGATGACTCTTTTTGAGGTGATTTATTTTGGCTCATCTGTTTACGTATCTATTTGTGGTCTTTTAAAATCACCCAAAGTCCTGTAAGCTTCCCTAGCTAAAGAAATGAAGTTTCAGGAATGATCTACTCATTCGGATTTTCAAAGCTGTCTTGTGCCATGTCATTACATATACTGCTTACTAGTAGTTATTGCACTTTGGTTTGAGGTGGACATGCTTTCTTTAATATGAATGTAAATATGAGCTTATATCTAGAATTTCAATGGTGCAAGCTTGTGTGATAGGTGCTAGGGTTACACGAAAGTGACAACAGTGAAATCCTGTGGAGTTCTTACATTTGCTCATTTTCAGCTGATGAAAGGGATTAGTGATATAGTTCATCCTATCTAGATACTCTCGTAACCTAGATAAAGGAATATGGGAGGATACTATCAGTGTCTGTTTCTTATGACGTTCAGATATTTTCAGCGACAACAATTGTGATTATTCTTCGTGGCCAATATCCTATTTTCTGTTATGCTCTGTTGAACTGGACCGTTATTTTTTCTTCCTTTGTTCTTTTGTGATCTGAAGCAAGGATTAACCAAAAAGGTATGGGTATATAAATGTGTATTCTCTGATACAGAGAGCAGATGCAAGAACTGACTGGAAAGAACATTCAAGTCCTGATGGAAGAAAGTAAGTATGCAACTAAAGTTTTTATTTCATTAACATACAACTGATGAAAAATAAAAATGTCCTTCTGTAGCTTCAGATGTTGAATCTTTAATATGTTTGCAGGTATTACTACAATAAGATTACGAAGCAATCAACATGGACAATGCCTGAAGAAATGAAGGTTTCTCTTAAGACAAATTACTGTCTTCTCTTCTGTATTTCTGTGTTTCCCGTTGTGTGAATTCTAAATCTTCGTTCCAGATTGCGCGTGAACAAGCAGAAAAGGCATCTCTTCAAGGGCCTCATGCAGAAGGCATTATTGATGTTTTTAAGGTGCTGACTCGTTCTGATACTGCATCAACTGCAGCTCCGACTAGTCTACCAAGCCAAACTTCAACCTCTGATGTCAGTGAGAAACTAGCGCTTACTTCTGATTGGAAGCAGCCAGCTTCAGTTCCTGGAAGTTCTTCTCCGGTCGAAAATGTTGATCGAGTTCAGATGATTGCAGATGAAACATCACAATTGTGTGATACTTCAGAAACCGATGGTCCTTCTGTCCCTGTGACTAAAACTTCTGCTGCTACATTGTACTGACAGTTGCAATTTTATCTCCCTTTCTCTTTTATTCTATTTAGTTTTAGTTGTGAGTATCACCACCTAAATAAGTTTCTATTAACTATCTTTGCAGGGTTGAGAAG